GCAATAAGGAACTGAAGTCCAAACCGTTACACGACTGACTAAGCGTTCAGTTAGATGCGATTTAAACCAAAACGATCAATAGTCCAATCAATGAACCGTAAAATGTCAGCTGATAAGAGTCAGCCACAGTCTGAAACTAGGGAAAAGGTAGTGACTTGGGGTATGCTTCGGTAGAATCCAACAGACTGTGGTTTGTCCGTTACACTGAGGATACTATATTCTATCTAATTTCGCGCACAACCCCATCGCCGCAATGGGAATACCCCCGTACGCTGTTGATTTAAACATAGAAGGCCAGCCCGTACGCCTTGAGATCGATACCGGGGCCTCGGTTATATTGATCAACAGCCGAACTTTGCCTGACCTGGTTCTGACTCTGACTCAATCTAAATTACGATCATACACTGGAGAAATACTCGGTTTTGGGTGTGTGACGTGAAAGCAAATCAAGCAGACAATACGTTGACTCTTCTTCTAATCGTTGTTAACACAGACGGACTTAATCTACTTGGGAGGGACTGGTTAAAGGATATGCTGGGAATTTTACAATCTGTCAAGAAGGTGGACAGTATTCCGGACTTACCTACACTCTTAAAAAGCTTTGCCAGTATTTTCGATACAAACATATCTGGCAAATTACGTGATTCCAAAGCTTTCTTGAAAATCAAGCCACAGACACAACCGAAATTTTGCAAGGCAAGGAGTCTACCTTTCGCAATCCGTCCAAAGGTAGAGTTGGAGTTAGAGCGATTACAAAAGGACGGAATAATTTCACCCGTACTCCACTCTTCCTGGGTTACACCCCTTGTTCCTGTACAGGTGCCTGATGGTTCAGTTCGTATTTGTGACGGCTATAAACTGACGGTTAATCAAGCGACCATGACGGAACATAATCCGATTCCACGGATAGATGACTTTCACGCAACTTTCTCGGGTGGACAAAAATTCTCGAAACTTGATCTATACCATGCTTATTCTCAAGTGGAGCTACAGGAACCTTCAAGGGAAATTGGTTGGCGGCATCCGGCTTCGGATTTGCCTGTCACTGTGACCAGTCACAGGACGCCTGCGCCTACAGAGGGACCATGGGTGGCTTGCGCTGCACCACTCACACCTCCAACCACACACCCCATATCCAGTGTAAACCCGAAGGAATAAGACCGGCAGGCATGTGGATGGGAGCCACGTCTCATCAACGAGCCGGTCCACACTCCTTCACAGGCAAACACAAGCACGCTGTATTTGGGGAATCAAGTGCACACAAGGCGGTGGCTGGACCGTAGTCCGCTCCACACTGAGTGCATGGAACTCCTCTTCGAGCCTAGCACGACCACAAGGACCGTGCACCTTGTCCCCTTCAGCAATAACCAACAGTCTCCCGGAACCAGTATGGACGAGGTAGTGGGTAATAGACAGGTAGGCACCTTTTCAACATGCACATCAAGCGCAGCCACAGCGTGGATATCAAGCGATAGCCAATCACTTGAAATGACAAGATGATATAAAATAAATCCAATAATGCATAGAGATACGGTGGCATAACTCTTCTGTAAATCTGCATATGAATTAAGTTGGTTAGCAACGAATCCGCGATAAGTAAAAATGTCCACAAGTTACTTAAAAATGCCACATACGCAACCAAGTTACCAAAGATAAGCGCAATTGGCGTAAGCAACGTGGCCAGTTAATAGAAGATTATTCAGGTAGGCAGAACAAACCAAATAAAGTGGAATGAAATTTAACCCGCTTTGAAATTTTGAAAAAGCTCCATCTCGAAATTTCTACCTGCAAATTTGGCTTGGAAACGTGATCTAAAGAGACTGAGTGGGAAATCTTTACTCTGTTCCATCAAATATTGATCCAAGATATCTTGGATCTTCGTTAACCGCGTGAGTTCGTTCCAGTATTGCTTCTCTTTGTGTTTCTTTTGGTCGTATTAATTCACTGTGTTTATTGTTTTATTTAATATTGTTGTATTTTCTATTGTATTAACTTGTTGTGACTATTTATTCATCTTACGCCGTCATACCTACATCAATTTGGTCATTTAATCCTACCAAACTACCTAGCTTTTTATTATTCTATACGTGGCTGTTACGTGCTATTCGTAATGACAGCGGTGGCTGGCTATAAATGTGGTGAGCACACTTGTGGCGTTGAGATCAAAGAGGGAATTCAGTGCGACAGATGCTTGTTATGGTACCATAACAATTGCTCTAGATTAGACCAGGACTCTATTGATCTTTATGCCCGACATTCCCAATTAAAGTGGATTTGCTTCCACTACGTGTGCTTAGCAGACATTGGTTCTCGCTTGATACACGATCGAACTTTTGATCCAGTTACTCATGTCTCAGCTGTGCATGAGTCTGCTAGTAGAAGCTGTGTGCATAGACTAGACAGTGCCGAGAAGTTGATTCGTGACCAGAGCTTGTTAATTGAGACATTGCGTTCAAAAGTTGAAGAGTTGTAGTCTTCATTGGAATGTTACTTGCGAAGTGCAGAACTTGCTTTGGGTAGACAACGAAACGTTCTTATCTACAATAGGGAGGAGCCAGTCATACGAGAAACTAAAACTCGACGGGACCTAGACCGAAGTCGAGTGCACGATATCCTTTGTTTAATCGGAATACCGTTATACGTTGGTATCAAAAGAGTACATCGTGTTGGCAGCTGGAGAGAAACAAGTATGCTCCGCCAACAAGGTTATTCAAGGCATATCCTGGTTGAGTTTCGGAACCCTATACACCGGGACCTTCTAGTTAACAGGGCTGGGTTGGTTGCAAGTCAGACAAATGATTGGTATCAAATAGCACCGGACACATTAACTTCGAAGGCTAAAGCCCCTCGTCTGAACCGGTTAGAAGGTACTAATACCAGCTTGGCTAACGAATCTGCGGTCTCACAGGCTGGAATTCACGATAGTGAGCCTCGCTTTACGCAGACATCTAAGCAAAACCCTAGTGACTGCTCTCCTGTGGCAAGGGCAGTCAGCTGGTCTGGACAACCCCCTACACAAGACGCCAGTGAGATAACTTGTAGGCTGCATTTAGTTGTGGAGAAACTTGCTGTTGATGGAAATGTGGCGGAAGAGGATAGTGAAAATGTAGCAATGGAACTTCAGGCGGTGCGTTCAAAAACTATCGAGTTCTCATGCTCGATAGTAGTGACACCAAAGTCCAGGGGTGGTATGCGCATTTCACAAAAGGATAAGAAAAATGAAATACTTGCCACACCTAATCTGGACCGGACAGAAAATCCGAAATGCAGTGCTGTTAGGTCGACTCAGGAAATAGGAGAAAACCCGTCGGGAGTTTACCCAGCAAGCCCAGGCGGGCGAAGCCAGGAAAGGGATTATCCCGTAATGCGTTACTGCAGCGCAGCGTTGATTCATCGACTCAGGCAACCGATGGAAATGAAATGCTACAAAAAAGCGGGTTATCCCCTCGGGCTCTACGTCAGAGGGGAAACAACCGCGTCGGTAGAGACTAAGCGTGTGGTACACTAATTGTTGTAGTGTGCGTAACAAGTGGGGGGAGTTAGTGACGCGTTGTGAGCATGTTGATGTGGCCGCTGTGTCGGAGTCCTGGTTTTCTCCAGAGGACCTTATTGGTGATTTGCTTATAGACTTCACATGCTACAGGGCTGACAGGTTCGGGTATCAGACTGGTGGAGGAGTACTCTTGCTTATAAAATGCCAATATAAACACTGGGAGGCTCCATTTACCATGAGTTCTGCTAACGTTCAGGTGATATCCTGCTAGGGGCAGATTGGAGATTATAGTATGTGTTTATCGCAACACATCCTCCACGCGAGAAGAGGACAGGGATCTTGGTACGTTACTAAGACAGGCGGCAATGACCGCACCTAATTTCTGATCGTCGGTGACCTAAGCCTTCCGCATGCTGATTGGCAGCTTGCTGAAAACAGGGTGGGTACCCTGCAGAGGGAACTAGTAGATTGGATGCATGTAAACACGTCCGAGCAATACTTCAATGTTCCGACTAGGAGTCATACTGGGAGTACCCCATCAACCCTTGATATCGTGATCGCTAGACATGGTCACTTGATTGACCTATGCGTGGAGCCACCCATAGGTAAGAATGATCATTGTGTTTTGACCTTTTCGCTGGACACACCGAGGCTTGCAGAGAACCATCGAATGGGAAGGGATTTAACTCGTATTGATTTTACGAAGCTGCGGGATCGAGCCCTTCAGATCACTTGGATCCCTGAACAGGACAAGGCCACTTTGGAACAGAGATGGCTTCTACTCAAATGTGCACTTGTACAGTTGCTGAACGAATTTGCTCCTCTACCCCCCAGGAGACATCTTGGGAAACCCCGATGGTGGAGAAGAAAACTTAATAGAGCGATAAAGAGGCGCAAAACTGAGTGGAGAAAATATCAAGAAACTCGGGGCTTCCGACGTTGGCTGCAATACAAAAGGCGTCGAAACATGGCTATTAAGTTGCAGCTGTAGACGAAGTACTCATATGAGCTTAGGTTGGCCAAATTTGCGAAAACAAATCCCAAGTGTCACTACAGTTATGTCCAACCAAAGGCTTCTCTAAGAGAGGTGGTCGGCTGTCTAACCATGGAGGACGGTACCCAGGTTGTAGACGACGTTGATAAAGTAGAAGCACTGCTAGGTGTCTACCAAAACCTGCATCGGAAGGATAGTGGGTCAGGCTTGCCATCACAGCCGCACTGCTCAACTAGCTACAAAATGAGGGAAATTATTCTCCATGTGCCAGAGGTCTTCACAGGGCTGGCCAGTTTGAACCTTTATACATCAGCTGGTCATGATAGTGTACATCCCGCCATAGTTAAGCCTCTGGCTGATATCCTTCAGTATCCTGTAGCGGAGTTATTTAACTAGTCTGTTCAATAAGGCAAGCTGCCACGTGATTGGAAGGAGGCGACTAGTGTTGCCATCCACAAGGGGGGTTCTAAGTCGGTGCCTCTTAACTATAGACCTGTTAGTTTGACCAGTATCATGCTGAAATGCTTGGAAAAACTTATAAGGAACAGGATCTATGAGCACTTGACTGAGCAAAATCTAATTAGAGCGGAAGAGCATATCTTTCTTAAAAGGAAGTTCTGTCTTACCAATTTATTGTGCTTTTTGGACGAGATTACCCGATGTCTTGATAGTGGGATGTCGGTAGAGGTGCGCTATTTGGACTTCAGTAAAGCCTTTGACTCAGTGAATCATCGAATTTTAATTGAGAAACTGACATGGTTTGGATTGCATCCTCGACTATTACTGTGGCCCTCTGAATTCTTACGTGGAAGGACATTCAGAGTCAGGGTTGGGGAAGCGAGTTCTAGTGTTGGCCATGCCTACAGCGGTGTCCCCCAAGGTTCGGTACTGGGTCAATTTTTGTTTCTTATGTTTATAAATGACCTGGCTCCTCTTCTTGAGGATCCCTGCTATATCTTCGCAGATGACTTGAAGCTAGTCAGTATGGAAAACCGAGTGACATTGGCTAAGGACATCATCACTGTGGTGAATTGGTCGAGCCAATGGGATCTACCTCTAAATGCCAACAAATGTCAACTATTGACCAGTAGTGGCAGCGGAATTGCAGTTCAGTCTCCTGCAGGATCTCTATCATTGCGGTGTACTGATGAAGCCCGCGATCTAGGTATCATCGTAGCGAACAATTTTAAGCCTTCGGCACAGTGTCTTCATGCTGCCAATAAAGCGCGACAAGAGTTTTTCGTCTAAGGAGGGCGCTGCGTAACACTAAAGCAGAAGTATTCTTACCGTTATATAAAGCAGTGGTTGGGCCACATCTGGAGTGTTGTGTTCAGGCTTGGGCACCGTACCTCCGGAGTGACGTCATTGGTATAGAAAAGATTCAGAAACCTGCGACCAGGATGATCGAAGGTCAACGAGGGAAGTCGTACGAAGATCGTCTAAGTAGCTTGGGAGTAATTTACTTTGAACGTCGTAGCTTGAGAGGGGATTTGATAGAGACGTTTAAGATCATTAAGAGACTTAGTGGTATTAGTTCCACCCATCTGTTTGAGTTAGCTATGTCAGACCATCTATGCGGGCATCGCCTGAAGCTCAAACATCACAGAGCTCGTTTGGACATCAGGGCGAAGTTTTTACGAACCGAGTAGTTAACTTCTGGAATAAACTTCTTCTGATTTAGTGGAGTCTAAGACTGTAAAGCCTTCAAAATGGGCTAAGACGATTGTTGGTCTATCCTTTTTCCAGAGTTATTGTAGCTGTATTGGAATATGTAGTGTATTTTGCTGCTGACACTTGAAAGTGCAAAGATTGCTTTTGTTCTTGCTTCATTCTTTTGCAGAAGCAATAAGAGACAATCCAACGTCGGAGTGTCGGGGGCCGCTACACTTACCGGCGCAAGAACTGGACGCTCGTTAGGCGGAAGCCTCTATCGTCCGTCTGACCTACCTGACCTGACCTGGTTTAAGTGTAAGTTGGTTTAGCCCCACTGCGGTGAAGAAGCATCAATAATACAACATCAGCCTCAGCACGGGGCACAAAGAAAATTAATACAATTAATACACACATTGAATTATTCTGCTGTAACCGAGTACCATTAGGGATACACTCCGCGACCGCGATCTTTCAGAGATTTATAGACAACTTAGTGAAAGGCATACCCGGAGTTTGCGCTTACTTGGACGACATTTTGCTTGCTGATCGTACCGACTACGAACATATGACACCACTTGCAAAAGTCTTGAAACGTCTTCAGGAGAGCGGACCAAAACTCAAGGTAGCTGAATGCGTCTTCTTTTGTGATACTGTTGAGTATCTGGGATTTCGTTGGGATAAAAAGGGCTTACATCCCCCTACGGGAAAAAATTCAGTCCATTTTGGATTCGCTAACATCCCGAACTATTAAAGAATTGCAATCATTTCTTGAGATGCAATCCTTACGGTCGTTTCTTACCCAATTTGGCTAGTCTTCTCGCACCATTGTATACTTTACTTCGTAAGAATACTAGATGGCTGTGGTCCAGTGAACAATAAAAAGCTTACGAGGCTGTTAGATTAGCTATCAGTAACGATAACTTGTTAGCGCATTTTGACCAAAACAAACCGCTCGGTCTTCGTTGTGATGCGTCACCCACAGGGCTCGGCGCCGTATTGTCACACCAAATGGAAGACATGACTGAGCAACCAATACCTTTTACTTCCAGAATCTTGGCACCAGCGGAAATGAACTATGCGCAGCTCAACAGGGAAGCTTTAGCGGTTATCTTTGGAGTCAAGCAGTTCCACCAGTTTCTGTGGGGAAAAGACTTTGAAATGTTACTGACCACAAGTCTTTGTTAATTGATTGGTGAGGAAAAGGTATAAACAAGATGGCGTTACCCGTATGCAACGATGGACTTTATTGCTCTCCGCTTACAATTAAAAGATCACCTATGTCACTTCGAAAGCAAGTAGAAACGCGGACGCTTACCATTTGGAAACAGTTACTATCTTTCTGTCATTTTATGCGCAGCAAAAGACCAGAAACGTAAACAAACTTTTTCGGTTCGCTCTGATCGAGGCACATATATTCCACCAATCAACCCGTTATTCCATGTGGCAGTGAATTGTGGTGCGGTGATGAGGACCGATTTAGTGTTTGCCAGACGGAGTTGTTGGAACTGGGTTTGGTGCGCTCAGTTGTTGCTTGATTTTTCAGTCTGTGCTCTTCTCCATCCACTGGCCGAATGCGCTATGCACGGACAGCAGCAGCAGCAACAGTAGCAGCAGTAAGATTCCCAGTAAGATTCCCAAGGGACCCCAATACTGCCAGCAACACCAACATGAGAAGTCCTTGGAAGGGATTTGGTGGGGATTGTAACCGACAAATCACAAGCTGTTGGGTTCCACCGAAGCATACCCCAAGTCACTACCTTTTCCCTAGTTTCAGACTGTGACTGACTCTTACCAGCTGACATTTTACGGTTCATTGATTGGACTATTGGTCGTTTTGATTTAAATCGCACCTAACTGAACGCTTAGTCAGTCGTGTAACGGTTTGGACTTCAGTTCCTTATTGCCGTCATTTGGTCTTGTTTAGACGTCCGGCTTTAATTTGATGACAGAACTATTGTACATTTGTGGTGGACACTGGCAAGGTCAGTATACAATTTGTCGCCCTAGTCTTTTGTAAAATAGCATCGTAGCACACTTCTGGCCTTGAATTCTGATTTGCCCCTGGAGTTCCTGTCCAGGCCTGGGCAATCCTGTCTCGGTCTGGGCAACCTGACACTATTCTGTCCACGCAATACAATGAACATTCCTCCTGACAATTTCTTGATGCACTAGCCATCGCAGAGGATAATCAAGGGCGAACTTTCTGCTGCATGGAGCAGGGTGGATAGGGGTATTGAGGCTACTGCTCAGGCCTTCCCGTCTTTTTATCTTCCTTCTTGCGCTTTTTCATCCTTATCGTCCTGCTCCAAATTTACTTTTATCCCCCAATTTTCAATCCCCAATTCTCGACCCCCCCACCTTGCTTCAATAGTTGCTTGTCTTCTAGTTTCAAATCACACACAGTTGCAGTGCATCGCTCCAATCCAGTGGACAAGACTATGTTTAACCAAGCGGACAAAGTCGGTTCATTCGTTTCCCTTAGGAGTTCTCGCGTCTCGCTAAGACTGGCATGCCTCAACGTGCGCCCTTTGCTGCAGACTGGCCAACAGACAGCAATTGCCTGCTCACTGGAGACCCTATCGATCGATATTAGCTGTTTATCAAAAACCCACCTGCAAGATTCGAGCTTCGTGCTTACTCTGCGATCCCCCACATGTGACACCTGCGGCACATTCTCACTGCGTCTGTCTAGCGATGATGCAGCTCCAAATGCCGGTCAAGCTGCCGTCGGCAGTTTTGAGTCCCCGGACTGAAGCTGCCCTGATCGACTTGATCGCAGTCAACAGTCGGATGTGCGCCGTTAGATTAACTGGTTCATTCCATTCCACGAAGTCGTGTGGGAACAAACGGTGCTTGTTTGTCATTGCGGCTACGCCCCTACAAACTGTAGCACTGATTCGGTAAAATATGATTTCTATCAGCAACTTAACGATCCCCTTGGTTACAGTAGAAGCACGGATATTGTGATGTTGGCTGGCGATCTAAAAGTCTAAGCACGAAAATTGTCCTCTGATGAGCTTCATCTTGGTAGCCAACATGGTGTAGGCTCCCGTAATGATAACGCTGAGCGATTGCTACAGCTGTGTGAAGATGATCGTCTCTTTCTCACGAGCACTAACTTTCGACACAGCACCCGCAGAAGCGTGACTTGGCGGCCATCAGCCTCGGGCCAACCATGGACACAAATCGATCATATCGCGATCAGTTACCGCTGGAGAGGCTGTGTCCAAAGCTGTCGCTCGATTTGGAGCACCAGCGTAGACTCTGACCAGGCACTTGTCTGCACCGACCTCCGGGTGCTTTTCGGTGGACGTCCGCAACGTCGATGTGAACGGATTGACACCAGCCAGCTGGCGAAGCCAGGTGTTCTGAATGTGTATCAAAGCGCGCTGACATCTGGGCTGAGTATGCGCCCACTGAACATCGTCGATAATCACTGGTCGCATATTCCTCAAACATTACTATCATCAGGCATGTCTTCATGTGGCAAATCAAATTGCCAAACTGGACAATGGGTCTCTACACAATCTCTGGAATTTATGGATGCTCACCGACGTATTCCGGCTAGAAGCGAATAAAAGCAGACTCGCAACAATCTCAGGGCAAAACTACGTGCTAGCCTGAAGAAAGACTGCGAAGCCTGCTGGTCTTATCGTGCCTTGGAAATGGAAATAGTCCCTACCGTTGGTAAACATGGCAATTTATTCCGTCTGATACGGGAAAAATGTAGCAGGATACCTGGTGTTATCATGACCATACGTGACGACAGTGTGCATCCGATCCACAGCCTGTCAAAACGCTTGGAGTGTTGAGCTGAACAATTTGCAAGGCAGTTTAACCAACCTGAGTTATCGCTTTCTTCTTCCAGCATAGAGCGCCCTTCTCCCTGGGCCGTCTCCCTGGATCCCCCTCACTCTCAGAAGTCAAACGTGGGATCAGGCTGTTGAAATTGCGTAAGACCGCAGGGTCAGACACACTTCCCAGCCCTCTTCAAATTCGAGAGACCGGCTCTAGTAGATCATTTACACGAGTTGCTAATGCAACTTTGTGAGCAGGAGAGTGTCTCGACAGACTGGAGCCACTCTGTCTTTGTCCCAATTTTCAAGGGAGGCTCTCGTTTGGAAGGCGGCAATTATAGAGGGATCAGTCTGATTTCAATTGCACCTAAATTGCTTTCGTCTGTTATTCTCTAAAGACTGATTGGCACTCGTGAAAGCCAGTTTCGTGTAGATCAAGCCGGGTTTCATGTAGGTCGAGGCTGCATCGACCATATCTTCACCTTGCGTCCATGGTTGGAGCAACGCCAAGTTTATTGGCGACCCACCGTAGTCGTGTTTCTTGACATAAAAGGTGCCTTCGACTCAGTCCAGCGATGTGCCCCTTGGGACTGTCTGCTGAGGAATGGTGTGCCTCTTAAGTACGTAAACATTATCAAAGCACTGTATACTCATGGTTAGGGCAGAGTGAGGGTTTATGGCAAACTGTCGCCAGCCTTCAGTATCACCAGCGGCGTGAGACAAGGATGCCCGCTTTCACCTTTCCTCTTCAACTTCGCTATTGATGAAGTCATGGAAACAGCGTTCGTTGGA